GGCTGCGGCTGACCGCGCAGGGCTCGCTGGGCTTGTGGCGGGCCGCCCGGGGCAGGTGCGCGCCTGCCGGCGGCGGCGGCAAGCGCGAGCGCCGCACGCCGCTCGCATCCCCGGAGCGGCCGGGCGCGGTTTTGGTCGCCGCACCTCGCAGGGGACGTGGCGGGGCCGGGCCGGGCCGGGCCGGGCGCTCGGGCAGGAAAGGTGGCAGCGCCGGGCATTGTCTAGCTTAGGAAAGAGGCAAGCGCGGGGGGACATGTTGAATAGTGTTGCTTATGTGTTAAGTCTGTTTAAAAGCGGCCCGTGAGCAGCGTCCTGTCCGGGCGGCCAACATGATCCGAAGCGGAGCTTCATGTCCGGAGTGATGACAGTGCGGGGTAAGGCGCCCCACGCCCCGTGAAGGCGACTGGTGCGAGCGTCAGGGCAGATGAGGGGGACGTATTAACAAGCACGGGACAGAGCTGAACTATGGCCACCACTTGGGGGGGGATTTAAAAGGACACTGGACACGTTCAGGGGCAAGGCTGCAAGTGGTTGTCCGCCCTGATGGCTCTGTGCTGCTGCGCACATCAGGTGCCAGGGAATCAGAACAGTAGAGCTGGAAGGGGCCAGGAAGGCCATCGAGCCTGACCCCCTGCTGGTGCAGGACGCCCATTACTCGGACAACTGCCTGCTTCCTTCATGAATGCCTCCAGTGTGGGAGAGCCCGGGCACCAGCTCTCTTGGCAACTGGTTGCACTGCCGTGCGGCCCTCACGGTCAGGGAGGGCTTCCTTGTGTCTAGCCTGCACCTGGTATATCGGTCGTCAGTTTCTTGTCCCCCGTCCTGCAAACGGATGAGTGAGAAGAGGTCTCCTCCTTTAGGGTGCTGCCGTGCACCTTGCAGCCCTCTTTGCTCAAGGCTGGACACTGCTGCACTCCTGCCCTGCTTGGGCAGCTGCTTGGCCACTGTGTGAACAGACTGCCGGCCTCAGTGCGGTTCCCTTGGCCTGATCCAGCTTCACTTGAAGCCAAGATTGCCACACAAAGACTGTCATACTGTAGCCGTGTCATGAGAGTGACTCACTCGAAAAGTCAATTGAGCTGGGAGTGATCAGCGGAAAGAGGCAAAGGGGCTGCCCCAGCACCCGTTGGCTGGACACCATAAAGAGGGTGGACATGGCGGTCTTGAAGGAAGCAGTGGGAGATGGAGGGGCGTGGAGAACAATGATCCACAGAGTGGCCAGGGTCCGGCTCGACTGAATGGCTGACGACAAGGATCAGTGTTCGTCACTCTCAAGACAGGGCGAGGGGGAGGAGGGAGAGGGTGGGGCTGGGGACACAACTGCTTGGAGAACTGCCCAGCCCTTTCGCGGGCGCTCAGGGCAGAAGCTGCAGCATGAGTGCCCAGTTGTGCTGCCTTCAAAGAGAAGCCTCAGTTTTTGCCTCTGGACTTCTGAGCTTTTGCTAAAGCAAAAAGGTTTGTGCTTCAGCCTTGGGGATTGGAGGGGAGGACTCTAAGGAGATGGCCCTTGAAGGAAGCCTAATCCCATGCTCTCTTGCATGAAAGCCTCCGATGCTGGCCATGGGTTGGGAGCACTTTCCAGCTCCGCATGAGATTTTGCAAATCGGTCTGCCTTTGCCAGGTTGGGGGTGCCTGTTGTACGCCATTCTAAAGCACAGCAGTGTTGGGGCTAGGGGAGGTGAGGCAGGGAGGGAACTACATGCCGATAATTCATACCTCTGCTTTCTCATACAGAACTAGAAACGGCTGCAACAGAGACTGGGGGCGGGGGGTGGGTGAGGTTCAAAAGTGGAGTTGGGAAGGGAGGAGTTTGGGACCTGGTCACCTCTGAAGCGTCCAGTGGGGACTGAGCAGTATCCACACTTGCCTTCAGGGTCTGGGGCTACTGCCCATTATATTTAACGCTTGATTTTTTTCCCTCTGCCAAATTGCATGTTAAACTGAAGAAATGTATATTATTAGAGAGAACAAAATTGGGGGGAAACCCTAGTTTTCTTTGTTTTTCCTCCAGTGGCAAAAACTGACTTAATTCAATTTGGACATTACTTTGTGGAGCAACAGGGAACTGAGGCAAAGACTTTTATGCTGCCATCGCAAGCCCTGTTCACAAAATTTTCTGGGAGGAGACTCACTCTAGGCATCCTCACCTTGCGTTGGTAGCCCTCCTGCACTTTCTCTCCCCTATTTCTGCCATTTCCTTTGTGGCCGTTCTGTGCTGTCCAGTCTCTCTAGCTTGGCTATGGTGACTCTAAAAATGAAAGCCCTCCAAAATGCCCCACCTTATCTAAGCCCTGCTCTGCTGTTCTGAATTGCAGGCAGTGGCTTCCTTTGTAGAGCCAGTCCATCTCCTCTTTGGTCTTCCGTTTCCTCTTCTGCCTTCAACTTCCCTGGCATCATTGTCTTCTCCACTGAGTGCGGCCTTCTCACAAAGTGCCCCAAGCGTGAGAACTTCAGTTTCGTCATTTTTGCTTTTAGAGAAAGCTCTGGCTTGATTTGATTGAGGCTCCACTTGCTGATGTTTCTGCCCATCCTGTGTATTCATACAGCACTCCTCCAGCACCATGTTTTGAACAAATCCATAGTCTTGTCAGTATCTTGGTGTGAATGATCTTGGCCTTGGACTCTAGTGAAATATCCTCACATTTGTTTATCTTTTCTACTTTCACTACTGCCCTTCCATGTCTCAGTCTTCTTTGAATGTCTTGGCTAGATTCTTCCTTTGAATTGATGACTGAGCCAAGATATACAAAATCATTCATAATTTCATTTTTTCCATTGTTGACAGTAAAGTTCTGTAATTCTTCTGTGTAACTTAAAATAATTGTTGTGTTCTCCACCAGTATTCCTTCCCTCCTCTCATTCTAATCCAAGAGGACACTGAGGGGGTGGGAGTATGATATGGGATAGGTTACTTCTCCTGGGATAGGTTACTGGAAGGCAAGCGAGTTGAGGCGGGGTGGATGGCACTCAAAAGGGAGGTTTTGGAGGCGCAAGCCTTGACAATACCTCTAGTTGGTAAGGTGGGGAGGCAGAGGAGAGTGCCATCATGGATGCAAAAAGGTGGTTAGAGGGATTAGACACAAGAGGAACCTCTGTAGGAAATGGGTACTGGGGGAAATATACAGAAGGGTATGCCGGGAGGAGGAGGCCCGTTGCAGAAGGATTCTTTGCAAGGCTAAGGCTGATTACGAGCTGAGACTTGCAAAGAATATTAGGAGCATCAAAAAGGGCTTCTATCAACATGTAAATAGCAAGAGGAAAGGGAGACAGGCAGTGGGACTGCTTAATAAGGAGGAAGGAGATTCAGTGACTGATGTGAGGGAACAGACTCAGATGCTAAATGACTATTTTGCCTCTGTGTTCTCCCCAAAGTAGGACAGGGGAGATCCACATGGGGTATCAGATGAGGCCGGGGATTTAGGGGCACAGTTTAGAGTCACCTCCCAGAAGTTGAGGGGCTCCTCAGGGCACTGGATGTTACAAAGGCACTGGGCCCTGACAGATTATACCCGAGAGTCCTTTGGGAGTTGGGGTGGGGGGGTTCTCTCATGCCCGCTGGCCTCCATTTTTGAGACCTCGTGGAGAACAAGTGAGGTTCTCAAGGTGAGGAGGATGGCATCAGTGGTCTCAATTTTCAAAAAGGGTAGTAAATGGAACATGGGAAATTACTGACAGGTTAGCCTTATGTCCATTGTTGGAAAGACAATGGAAAGACTCATAATAACAAAAGATCTAGTAGCCCTAGATAGGGAAGGGAGGTTGGTGGCCATGCAACACGGCTTCCACAAAAACAGGTCCTGCCAGACAAACCTTCTGGAATTCTATGACAAGGTTTCGAGATGGCTAGATGGAGGGGATGCAGTGGATGTGGTTTACCTGGATTTCAGCAAGGCCTTTGACAAAGTGCCCCATGATATCCTGGTGGAGAAACTGAGGAGTTTTGGGATAAACCAATGCACTGTCTGATTGATTAGGGCATGGTTGACTGACCGAAAGCAATGGGTAACAATCAGTGGGGAATCATCAGGATGGTGGCCAGTGAGAAGCGAGGTTTCCCAGGGCTCTGTCCTGGGGCCGATCCTGTTTAATCTTTTCATCAATGACCTGGAGGAGGGGTGTCAAGTCTGCTGATCAAATTTGCAGATGATACTAAAACTGGAGCAGTGGCCACAACTGAGGAGCAGAAGGATCTGGACAGACTGTGGAAGTGGGCAGGGGACAACAGGATGGCGTTCAATGTGGATAATTGCAAGGTCTTGCACTTGGGGCATAGGAATGGGTGTCATAAGTACCGGTTAGGGGACAATAGACTG